ACACTCTTCCTCCATGCAAAATCCACCAGTAAAGGCCATCAAAAAGTGTGTTTTTGGGGTACTTTACGTCAACAAAATGCCGCTGAATTCACCACCACCAGAAACACTAAAACGCAAACATTTGAAAGTCATGGATGTATAAGTACCTGAAAACGTGAGGAGTTAAATGACCAAAAGGGAGTTGAATTATAAATAACTAGACAAATTCATATTCAGTCAAGTTTGTCTGAAGTCATGAATGGGACTGGAAGTTCCCATGGAGGAACATACGAGTAGATTTGAAAATTAAAGTTTGATATGAACTCCAAATGATCTTTTATGTTCATGGTTTATTTTGTGATGATGTTTACAACATAATTTATATATACAGCTGTATTTGTCGTAAGAATTCATAAAAAAACACATTTAAGTTTGTTTCTAGCTGACGTTTTCCAATTGGTCAGACTCCATGTTCCTTTCTTCTGACGGTTTTTCAGAGGAGGGGGATCGGATGGTTACCCTTGGAAAGGGAAGATGGTTTTGATGTATCTGTCTGATCATCGCCGGTGTAAAAAAAAACTGCAATCTCACCATGACACACTTTAAAATTAAACTTACCTGTAAAATATCATTGAATCTTTTAAAATCAGATATATACTTTATCAAACACGGCAACAAAAGTGGATTAAATACTGTCAAAATTAAAAATAATAAACCATTACATATAAGGATATGATAGCTTGGTTTGTAAAATTTTCTATCAAATTTCAGGTCGTAGAGTTAGATTACCAAACGCAAGACTTAAACTGCTTATATATTATATGTCTATAAGATAATAAAAAATACAAAAATTACAAATAAAATAATACGATATTAATATGCACAAAATATCATATTTTGTCAACATACTATCACTTTCATATAAACTGAGACCCCACTGAAATTGTTTTACATATTTGGTCCTTAAAGGAGTAAATTGATATATTTGATAAAGAAATTTTTTATTACTTAGTATATCAAAATGACAAGCTTATCGCAAATTTAGATATTGTTGCTGGGTTTGATTGTCTTGCAAAATGATGGGAAGACATGAATATAGGAGCGTACTTAGTAACAATCTGACGAGTCAAGCCCTTCGTCTGATTTTTGACAAGGTGTAAATGGGGAAAAAATCGGTTACTAATTTGGGGTAGGACTGTTACTTTATATCATTCCGTGTTATAACTTAAAATACTGGCTGCAACCTGTTTTAAATTGTTTTGCATGGCAATGGAGGAGTTACTTATTTTCATATAAGTTTATCAACTTCCTTCGATTGTACGCTTCGTGAAGAGACATCCATTTTGCTCGTTGCAATTTGTAAAACCTTAATTCAAATTTAAGAATTTGTACATTTGTTAAGGCAGCAAAACAAATTTGCGGGGACGGGGTTGGGGGCTTAAAAGGTCAGGCTTAAACATGTGTTGAAAAAGGAAATAGATTGAATACCGCTACATATACTCGTCTTTGAAACGTAGAACATGGGAACCGATTTGCTACAGAAAAGCAGACGTAAAATTGATAGTATCAATATACTCAGTATTACAATAGGTCCAGTATATGTTCCTGAGAAATTAACCAAAAACATATAGAACTTAAACCAGTTTACTAAATGTTGCTGATGAGCGTTGTGCTATACAAAGATTTATGGAGAAAGTAAATTTTAGTGAGAAATATATTTTTTCTGAACCGAAGTCAGTCTTGTATGTTATGTTATAATATATAAAGTGATGACCGGATTCACCAAAACAATACTGGACGGTACAGCATACCGCATCAACCACCAACTGTGTGTGAACACCGGACACCGAAAAACAGACATAAAAGACAACACAACAACGAAAAACACATGGTAAAGACACAAGATGTGGCGGGTTAAAACAGTTGTATAAGTAAGCAACAACCTCCCCTTTGCCTATCTAGACCATATGTCGTAAAACTGAAACACAATAAACAAAAATATCTGTCCGTATGAGACCATGCCTCGCTAGTACTATCCCCTTTCATTTGTCAGTGAACCGATTTATTTGGTTCAATCCCTGATCATCCCTAATTGGTAAATATTTTTTTTAAAGTTAATAGTCACAATGAACGTGTTAGTAATAAGTTTCACGGTGATGTGTAAAACTTCCCTCAACAAAAACTTCAACCTGATCAGTAAACTGTAAAATTTGGGTCAAAACCCAAGGGGCGGATCCAGCCATTTAAAAATGGGGAGGGGATAAAAGGGGGGGGGGTCCAACCATATGTCCCATTCAAAAGCATTGCTTGTCAAAAAAAGGGGGTTCCACCCCCCGGAACCCCCCCCCCCCCCCCCCCCCCCCTCTGGATCCGCCACTGAAACCCTGATTTGACATAAATTTCAAATAGTTCCAAATCATAACATCATAACATCGTCCAGTTCTTGTGACCACAGTTTCATGATAAACTTACAACTTACGTCTGAAACAGGACGGCCGTACAAATAAACCTTAAAACATAATGCCCCATAGCGTACGGTGATTTTAATCTGCACAATGTAGCTACCAACAGAATGATCTCTAACTTGAACAAAAATGGCAAATGATTTGGAAAGCACGATCAAAATGTGCTTGCTACTTCAAGGGGCGTGCTAAGGTAACTACAGTTGTTGGTTTAATACAGCCGCTCAAGAAAACACAAGAGTGCGCACGCTGAAATGTCTCGCCTGCTCTACTGACCATGATTGATTTAACGTTGAAAGTCTTAAAAATAAAGGTTTTACCAGAAGTATCACATAAACTTAACATTATCAATGATCGAAGACAATAAAGTAAAGGTCAGATTAACCCTGGCAGACAGACATGTACACCTGACGATCAATTCATATACCAAATACAGTTGACTTCTTGCTTATTATACCAAAGAAGGAAACCAAACTGTGAAAACTTAACATCGACCAATGAACCATGAAAAAGAGGTAAAGGTCAAATCAAACATGTCTGACAGACGTACACCTAACAATCATTCCATGCACCAAATATAGTTGACCTATTACTTATATATAGTATCTAATAAGAGGACCAAACTACAGAAACTAAACACTGACCAATGAACTATCAAAATGAGATCAAGAGTACATGATACCTACAAAAGGTACCAGACAGACATGTGCATCTTACTATCTTTTCATATACCAAATATAATTGCTTATAGTATTTGAAAAACAGACCCAAGCACAAAAACTTAATATTGACCAATGAATAATTAAAAAGTCACCTATAGTTGACCTACTGCTTATAGTATCTGAGATAAGAACCTAATCGCGTAGCTTTAACCTTGATCACTGATCCATGTAATGAGGTCAAGGTTAGGTGAACCCTGTCTGGGAGACATGAAGACTTTGCAAGATTGCTTTGCAAGGAACCAAAGTACCAAATGTAGTTATCCTATTACTCATAATAAGTGAGAAATTCACATGACAAAAAAAAACTTTCAAGCAGTCGCTGAACCATGAAAATGAGGTCGAGGACAATGAACATATGACAGACAGAAACATCGAAACATAAGGTATGAAGCATACATGTCTATTACCTTCTGAAATATAAGTCTTTATGCAAATAGTGTACGCTGCCAAACCGTTCAAGTTGCAAAATCTATACACACCATATAATGCGTCAAGACGAACATCGGCATATATACGAGGTGGAAGTTTGTAATGAAGTTGAAATCTTCGTATATTTTGTCGTATACAATGTTCATGTTTACTAAGCAAGTCTCATTTACACATGTATTATACTAAACTTTTCAGAAAAATTAAGGATACTATGACCTATTTTTTTCTAAAGATTTTAGTAGTTTAAGTAAATATAAGTTAAAGTAACCTAATTTTTCTGAAGAGATATTATTGCTATAAGAGTTGAGTTCAATCTTCTCATAAATTACTAAAATCTTTAGAAAAAATTAAGCCATAATATCATAATTTTTTCTGAAGAGTTTTGTATACTACATGTGTATATATGAGAGGATTGTAGAACCAGAAAATATCATTGATATATTTTTCCTTTGTGCAAAAGGACCTAAATTCAAACTTAACCAATTCATGACGTTTGAGCATGGATATTTATTAAAATGTTCCTTCAACGATCTTCAACATAGATTCGCGGCGTAAAACAACCCAGGGCATCAATCATCATAGGAAAAGGAAATGTCTTGAAAGATGCAGATAGAATAAACATTTCCCAGAACTCTCGTATCCTCTCTTCATCCCAATGTTTAGTTAAAATGTGCACAAGTCAAGCTTTTTAGATTTGTATTTATTTCTTATATGTGTGGATTGTATCATTTTTTTATAACGATGCGATGAGTTACCTTTGTAAAGATTATTGTTGACAATTACCTAGACGTTTTGTAAAATGATTTCTCCGTAACATGCCTAAGCAATCTTAAATAACAGACAAACAACAATTAAATAACTGTACAATGTAAGTGTTTGAAAGGTAAAAATATAGGATAAATCCATGTAAACTGATTTTTTTTTTAAGTAACCTATTACAATAAAAAACTTTATAATGCACTAATTTTTCTATTGTGTTGAGTAGGCGGGTTTGGGTTTTATATCTGTACAAACATTTTTTTCTTCTGAGAATTACATACATTTTGGTACAGAAAAAAGAATGTTTTTAATTCAGTGTTGTTGATTTTTAACTGAAACAGACTGATTTTATTCCTTCTCTCCTGAAACACACCTTTTTTTGAGAAATTAATAATCACAAAATTCATTAAAAAATAACACACCCCATAAATAACGAAAGCGGTCGATATCTAATTGGCAGCAACTTGGTTTTATCAATTCTATAAATTATTGTAAATAGCATTATGTATCTGTTTTCAGAAGTTGATGACTAGCTTCGAAGATAGACTACATGTATCTCCTAAATACTAAATTTATATTTATTTTTTCATTTTTTATTTGAATATTTGAATTTTAATCAAATTTTAAACTTTGAACTTTGTAAGCATCAACATTAACTATGGTAGTCCTCTGGAATTCTTTGTCAAGTATAAAAATAGTTTCACTCCTCTATTGGCACTTGGAAAATCACTGACCAAAAATCCGTTAAAGAATTTTTCAGCACAACATAAAGTTAAATCCAGATCTGTAACAACTCTTGGGTACAATTGAAACACTGCTTTGCCGTTCTTATCAAGAATAAACTGCAGAGTCCGAAAAAGATTAAGTAAATAATGTTCTTTTATGAACCACTGTAAAACTGAAATACTTATAACATTTTTGAATATTTCAGGTCGAAAATTTACTCCTGTAGACACATCTAATAGTACAAAATCGTTCAATAATGTATTCGATTTAGCATGTGCAAGAAGACTCTGACTAATGTCTACACCAATAACCATGCGCCCTTTTGATTCAATTATTTGTGAAGAAACACCATTACCACATCCGATATCAAGAAACATTTCTTTTTTATTTCCTGCAGACGGAACTTTCAAAAGATTCAATGCATAAAGGGTCATATCCCGTTGTATTGCAGTGTTACGCTCATTTGCTATATATTTTATCACTTCTTGCTCACCATACATTTTTGCACCAGCTACTTCCGGTCGCCTAGCATGTCCTCCTTTCAAGTTTCTAACACCAAATTTTGCGATATCTTTTGTTAGTTTGAACCCATTATCTCCAATGAATGAAACCTTGTTCAATCTTGTGTCTTTTAACAAGTAAATAAATCTCTCCTTAGTCATTATTTGTAAATAAATCGCATAAGCCGGCAAGTTACATTTTAGTCCATTCTAATATGAAAAACAAAAGGCGGTGATAACCACGAAAACATACGGAGAGTAAATTTATACGGCACGCAACTCTGACCTTTTGTCGCTTAATCTATTTCTCTTCATATACAAAATAAATCGTGGTGAAAGTTAATTTTATTCGTTTTTTTTTAATTATTTTATTGTAACAGATCTTTGGCGTCACACTGGTTTATTTTATGAATTTAATGTGAATTATGATTCATGTGGATTTTTTTTTAATTCCTGTTAGTTTCGCTGTTAAAACTGCAAAAGATCAGAAAATGAAAGATATATCTGAAATTGACATAGTGATTAGAAGAAAAAAAAGGAGACCAGAAATCTATAAAATAGACATGTTTGTTTTTCGTTATTAGGGGAAATGGGTTTAAATGACATATTGTGTAGACAGTCACCTTTCTATTCGTTGGAGACTGTATTAGCCCTCTAGATGTCTTTTGACTATTTTTGTTGTTGGGTTTTTGTCTCATTGACGTATTTCCCACATCTTCTTTTAATCATGTCTAACTTTCATTAATAGATACCGATTAAACCTGGGAATAGTATACTAACAACATATCATGCTCCAGTTTAAACTTACTATTAAGGCACAATGACGTTATCTAAGGTTGGATAGGGGTCTTCATTAATTTCCATATAATTTTTTAATAATTTGTCAAAATATAGTTTATATCATGTTTTTTTTTTCAAAAATATAATAAAAAGTATGGGTCACCGGGGTTTTTTTTCACGCTACAGGTTGTGCAAAATTGTCAGATTTTATATAGATTATGCATGGAAAACACAATTTTGTGTGATAAAAAGAAAACTACACCATAGAATTGTAAGATAAAATAAGAGAATATAGCTCTAATAATATGCTTGCAGAAAAGAAAGAGAAAAATGGGGTCACCGGACTCGTTTTCTTGCTACATAATAAAATAGGTAAATTCACAACACATTCTATTATAAAAGTTACTTTATCTGAGTTATCTCCCCTTATGTGCTACTTTATCTGAGTTATCTCCCCTTATGTGTTACTTTATCTGAGTTATCTCCCCTTATGTGGCAAAGTTGAGAAAAAAAATTAATCAAACACAAATATTCTGTTTCTTGTAAAATACAGCCGTAAATATGATAAAACACATAATTTTCTATATTTACACGAAAAGTTTTACACATGAATTACATACTACTCTCGAAATCTGCACATGTCATTAAAGATATAGACCGATTGTTATCTGCTATTTCAAAATCCAAGATGGAGGAAGACAACCCAGCTACGTTAACTTTATTCAAGTGATAAATCGTCAAAAATTCGACGATAGCCGCCAAATGACATCGATGATTAAACTTGTATTTTATATGATAAGTTTTTCGTATGACTACTTACTGCATCATAAGTTATATTGAGGACGATAAATGACTTCGTAATTTACAGTAAACAATGATAAACACAATTCCAACTTCAAGTCTGAAACGTAAAAGTGACACTAGCATTATAGAAAATAGAAATTAAAATAGATGGATCAGACTTTCTTATTATTTGAAAAGGAGCGTGACAATAGGCGACCTCTTATATAAAACGCTCATACCTAAATAATTGAGCTCTAGGTATAACTACCTAAACTCGTGAAGCGTGTATGAAATTGTCATGAAGTTCGTCTCTTTATTTTGCATCCTCTTTGTTTTCCACTGTCAACTGTTGAACCTTATCATTAAATGGTCTCGTGTAAGTAGCTTCCATCTCAGTTGACCCCTCTGGGGAAAAAAATCGATAAATATCACAGGTTTCAAAATATCTTAAAAAAAACTTAGTGCTATATATACCCTGTTTACGTGTCCGTGTATGAAAAATGTTGCTTCATAGGAGTCTTCTTTATGAAAATAGAAACTATCCGTCCATCATAGATTTGTTGTCACGCAGTCCTCGTTAATTTGGTTCTATGTTTATAAGATATGAAGGAAACTTTGATCTCTCGTATCTATTTCTTTAAACTTAAATGAAGAATATACAGTTATAGAATAATCATCAAAACTATGAACTATTTAACGGAAGGACATAATCTGTGTACAGGCAGAGGAAAATAAAGACTTAGTCTAGTTTTTTTTATCCCTTGACCTCATTCATTCGACAGTAAAATCCGTGCTAAAGAGGGGTATTCGCTTGCCTGTGCCGGATGTATAAATACGCAGCCACGTCTGGTAGCATTTTGGATGTAAGGTCTGACGCCTGCTGTATGTAGAGTGCCACGTTCTTTGTACACTAAAAAACCTCTGTAACCACTCTTTTTGGTGGACCCGAAGGTACACTGTTGCAAGGCAAATTATTTATGCCCGATCGTATACTCTCACTTTCCAGTGACTGTCGAAATTCAGCACACAATCGTAGATTTAAACTGTTTAAAAATCTATATATAATGATATATTATTATATATTATTTTGCTCGAGACATGTTGTTAGTCATTTTTTTTTTCATGTTAACTTCATATAATTTGTTAGCAAAAAGTCTTAATGCACTGACCTCAAACAACTTTCAAATCCTTAATGTTTCTGTGAAGTTCATGCCAAATATTGAAATATACGAAACCAGAAGATATTTTATTTTAAAACGATTGGGCTAAGTTACACAGACGCTGCTGCACCAATGTTGTCATGGAATTGATAAATTATCAACATCACTAAGGTTTTTCACAATAGCAGGTTCGGCAAAATGAAGTAATTCGTAGTTCTCAAACGCATCTAGTATTTGGTCCCGGCTTGTTATTAATTTCTTCATCTTTTCACGCTTTACAATTGATGATTACACTTATAACCCTACTGAGAGAAGAACATAATTATAATCAATAGCTTTAATTCAAGTGCAGTGGCGGATCCAGAAATTTTCATAAAAGGGGGAGCACTGACTGCCATAATAGGGGGCCCGCTCCAGTCATGATTCAGTGGTCCCTAAATAATCAACCAAATTTTTCACATAAAAGGGGGGGGCGGGCACCCTGCCCCCCTTAAATCCGCCTCTGAAATGCCACTGATGAGTCTTATATAGAAGACAGGCGTGCCTAGGGTACTAAATCATATAATATAAAAATAAGATGTGGTATGATTGCAAATGAGACAAGTCTCCACCAGAGACCAAATGACATAGAAGTTAACAACAATAGGTCCCCGTACGGCCTTCAACAATGAGCAAAACCCATGCCGCATAGTCAGCTATAAAAGGTCCCGAAATGACAAATGTAAAACAATTCAAATGGGGAAACTAACGGACTAATTTATGTACAAAAGAATGAACGAAAAACAAACATGATATACAGCAACAAACGACAACCACTGAATTACAGGCTCCTGACTTGGGACAGGCACATACAGAATGTGGCGAGGTTAAACTAGTTTACTGGCGGCAAACCCTCTCCCTAACCTGGCCGGGACAGTGGTGTAACAGTACAACATAAGAACAAACTATAAAAATTAGTTGAAAAGGGCTTAACTCATCAGATCAATACAAAGCAGAAAATCATCTCACAAAAACACAGACCAGACGTGGCAGGGTATGTATACATCCCCACAACAAAAAGAGACTTTAAGTACAGATCTGAGAGTACTCGCAGTTACTGACAGCTAGTTCAAAGCCAATTACAACTAATATATATATATTTTTTAATCATACATCAAAGACTAAGCCTGGTAACTATGATGAGTTTTTACAACCACTTGATCGATTCCACTGATGGTGGACGCTTTGCCTCTTTGCATCAGATTTCTTCACCAGCCCAGTAGCCGCACTTATGTGCTGACATAGAATATCATTATAACGGTAATTTTTTTTAATTTACTGTTTATAAAATGTTGAATTATACGAAACACAGAGTTTTTTCTACCTCATGCATAGTTGACCTTTGCCAACAGGGTTTATAATGCTCTTCAACTTTGTTATTGAATTGTCCTTTCAACTGTTGATTCGAATGCCACTTATGAGTCTAATGGAGACGAAACCAGCGCGTCTGGTGTACTAAATATAAGCCTTCAATCGGCAATCCTCGGGTGAATCCGCTACTCTCCTTCTTAGATGAAGGTACGGAATCGGCCGAGTTGTGACGAATGATAATCCGTGTGTTTTCAGTCGAGACTTCTACAAATGTACGATATTTTAGTCTCGGTTAACACTGAAAAAAACAACAACATATAAGCCTACGGCGAAGGAGACCCCAATTTAAGAATAATTTTGTTTCCGCATTTTTATGGTGAAAAATATTTATTTAGGTACATGCACTCAAGACGAAAAGTTTGGAAGATTGATATAAAAAAAAACCTAACAGAGCAACCAAGGGGTTTATCGGTCAATAGTTTAAGTTATATTGGTGGACAGTGAAATCGGAAATTTATGATATATTGGACACCTCCAGGGATCACACTGGTTTAGTCTCAGGTTTTAACCAGAATTTCTTAGCACAGGCAAATGTATCTGAAAAAAATACCTATATATACCTTAAAGGGTATATATAGGTATATTTATTTGCAGAGACAGTTTCTGTGTGTGTTAGTGTATTTTTTATACTTGACATCTACTCTCATATTGTTTTTCACTCATTTTATTCGATATGTCAATTTCCTATGTTGTTTATTTCTTATATCTGGGACTATTATACTAACGTTAGTATAATAGTCCCAGCTTATATATACTTCTAGAACATGTGTTTCTTACTTTTCGGTTTGATATTGAACTGTTTAATTTATCCACGCTCCAACCTCTGTTTTCTTCTTTAGTTTTTACAAATGGTTTAGTTTAAATTTCAATAAGCGAACTTTTCAGTTTTCTATTAACATTGTTTATATTTATTGTTATGTCATATACATCGGTGCAGTGATTTGTTAATTGTTTTTGATAGATTATAATTTAGTAAATTCCTACAAGATAAGCCCGGTTCCTTACTGGTTGTTATTTGTGTGTTTGGTCGTTGTATATACCATTTCATGTCCACTTCCGGAAATCGATTGCGTTCATTATACATCATAGTTGCATCAGCGGCATGGACGGTGACACTTCCCGAGAAAAATTGCAAGAACAGATTCGTTTACAAGGAGAAAGAGTTCGAAAGTTAAAAATAGAGAAAGCTGAAGCACAACAGGTTAATTACCATTAATTTCAATTCGTAGATACAATTTAATTCCAGTGAATTAACCAAAATATGGTACAGAACGGAGGAAGCAAGACAACTCGACCCACACTAAATCGCCCCACTTTTTCTACCAACTCGCCCCATTATTCAACAAACTCGCCCCACTTTCTACCAACTCGCCCCACTTTTCAACAAACTCGCCCCACTTTCTACCAACTCGCTCCACTTATGGGAAGGGTAAAATCCCGATGAATAAAGGTCTGCCAACTCACCCCACTTATGCTGCACTTATGAAAAGTAGGTAAATCCCGAAGAATTTAGCCCTGCCAACTCTCCCCACTTATGAAAAAGAGTAAAATCCTGATGAATTAAGTCTTGCAAACTCTCCCCACTTATGAAAAATTTACTATGAAAAATTTACTATTAAATCCCAATGAATTTAGTCCTTCCAACTTGCCCCACTTATGAAAGGTAGTTTAATCTGCACAATCTCTCCAACTGTACTGCTAAAATAACAATAGAAAAATAAAGCTACTTGTAATACAATAAAACAAGAAATTTGAATATATGATTCTGATTGAAGTTAAATGATGCTTCATTTCTTAAAACAAGATGCATTTCTAAGGTTTTCATCAGTATTCATGTAATTCTTAAGTGGGGCGATTTGGTAGGCTTTAATTTAGTACGGTTTAATTCTTTTTTTCATTAGTGGGGTGAATAAGCATACCTTTATTCATCGTGATTAAACTTTTTTTCATAAGTTGGGCGAGTTGGCAGGACTAAATTCAACGGGATTTTTTACTATTTTTCATAAGTGGGGTGAGTTGGCAAACCTTAATTCATCGGGATCTTACTCTTTTTCATAAGTGGGGCAAGTTGTCAGGACTAAATTCAAAGTTATTTTACCCTTTTTCATAAGTGGGGCAAGTTGGTTGAAAAGTAGGGCGAGTTGTCATGGATTCCAGAACGGACGGAGTTTTTTTTCCTGTAAAATTAAAGCTATTTGTTATTCATGTTTTCAAGAAAAAGCTACCAAAATGTCTGAACGATTTGTCAGTTATAAATACATGTAGAACTTGTCACATTTTGATCAGATGTATTCACCAAAATATCTTGTAGGAATTTTTGGCCAAGAAACCTTGTCAAATCCACTCAACTTGCTGCTTGAAAAATTGGATGTACTGGTCAAGGACCAGTTTACCATCAGTTACCACCACCTGTCAATTTATTCAATAATGGAAGTTATGCGTAGAAACAACAGACTGCTAATATCTTCAGACAAATATTTTTACTTTGTTTGTGTAACCTCCTTTTTGTTTGAGCCCATTTGAATAGGGAAATACAGACTTTTTGGTAAATTAATTGCGTCATGGGAAGTTACATGTGTGGGGACATGATGTCATCGCTTTCTGACATCCTCAATTTTCAAAAACTAACCATTTAAACACAAAGCAATATCTAACCTTGCTTTTGAATATACAATTTCTTTTGAAAAAATTTAAAAAGATTTATAATTTCAAAATCAAAGTCTATACATCTCTTCTATTCAGTGTAATTGATTGATTTTGAGTGACATAAAGCTCGCATTCAGAGTAGAAAGGAAACCTTACAAATTAATGGTCAAAATGGCAATTTGTACAAAAGCAAAATATAACATTAATATCCCGATTGAATGTAAATTATATTATTTCCTGTCAAGATTCTAAAGTGACAGTAACTGGTCATTATACTTATGAAATTTCCTGCAAAAATCATCATACTAGTCTAGTAACCTCTTTTTCATTGTTTCTATAAGGAATTGAAGTCCTAGTCTATGGTACTAAAAATCTAACTTTTGGTAACCCTTTTATGTAAAAAGAATGTTTCTCCAGAGAGTTACTGTTAAAATTATTTGAGAAAAACTGAATTTCTGAGTAGTGACAATTAAATGAGACAGTAAGAACCCTGATCACACCCTGATGACCCATTGAAGAAAAAATTACACTATAATCTTCAGGCTTTATTTGAAAGAAATACAATAATGAACAGGTGCTTGGATAAATGAGAAAATATTAACATACATGTACATGTATGAGTCTGGCACAGTCATGTGGACACATGTGTCCCTCCAGCAGCTAGAGGTTTAATCAATTTATGCTGGATGCATCTTTGGTTTGACCCTAACAATCTCTCGCCATCGAGGCATGCATGTTACCACAGACCACGGAAGTGGTAGAATAGAATGAAAAAGGTGAAAAATGGTGTAAATTGAGATGTCATTTATTGCAAAAGGATCATTTCATATCACCAGAAAAGGAATTTAAATATGATCTAAAACAACTTAAATTTAATCTGTATTTACAATGTAAGGTACCTATAAAAATTTGCATAACCAGAACTTAAAATTTTCCATAATTCCGTGTTTCTGAATTGGTTCATTATATTTACCAGATTTGCTGAGAAGCAGTCACTACAAGACATGTTTCCTATTTGTAAATTCCACCTAAAAGTATTGCAGAATTGGTCCAACAAATGCTCACTTCGCCATCTCTGCCAGGTCAGTAAAATAATCCAGTAAAACATGCACCAATTCAGAAATGCAGAACTTACAGTAAATTCAGAAAATTTTGCTATGTTTTTATTATTTATTAGCAAAATTGAAACTCAGCATTTCCCGAAATTGCCATAATTATTCTAGCATTTATATCCATTGTTCAACAGTCTCAATAATAAATGCATGCACAAATTTTTGAATGTACAGTCATGTTGAATTTAATTTGATCTGGAAAAAATAAAAAATCAGTTGGTGGTTTTTATCTGTCTAAATTTAAAAACTTGAATCTCTTCTCTGAATTGGTCCATGTTTGAAATGAAATATGAAATAACTAAAGTCTTGGGAATTCAACAGATTGTTTATGTCTGCATAGTGTAGGTGTGTGTAGTTGTGAATTGGATTTTATCATGAAAGTTGCTTATCTTTAAATTAAAACAGGTTCTTTTTATCATAATTTTAACATTCAAGCTGTAAAGGGAATTGACTTATGCAATAGTATACAAGGTGTCTTTAGTCTTTTACTTTCACATAATTAAGATTACAGATTTTGAATACTAAATTCTCAACTATTTAAAAAATGTGAAGAAATTTCGCGTATAACATGTATAAAAAGGAATTACACCTGAATATGTGTGCTTAAGGTTCAAAGTATAAGACCAGTTTAACTATTCTGTGATGCAAATGAAAGTTAGAATTTGAAGGCTTTGCCATTTCAGGGATAGCAATTTTTAATTGAATATCAGAAAATTGTCTCAGAATATATGGAATTATGGATTTTTCAATTTCTAAAAAAAAAACTTATTCTCTTGAAGAGAAACTTCATATATTGCAGTAGTCTCTCTTTCATAACATGCATAAGACCACCACTCATAATCTACATATAAAGCCTAAAAGGATTGACTGTTGATGAGGGATACAATTATAATGAAAATACTGTTGTTCTGCATATATAATATATACATGTACAAAAAGTTTCTTTAAAATCTTCCAAATTTTGTCCAGTGGAACACAAGCCACCAACTATTAAACTTGATGACATTTTGTAAATCTGTTTAAATGCATGCAAAAGATATTTCATTGCAACATTCCTGCTCATACAAGTCCCCTCTCATATCATATAGGTTCTCTTTCATTATACATCTTTGCCATTCACAAGATTCATGTAAAGTACTGATAACCTCATTTGTCACTCATGAATTAAACCTTATCTTTCAAATTGTATGACAGTTCCATGACCTCATTTTAATATATATGGAATTCACAAAATAATGAGGAAATTTAACTGGGATTTATGAAAGAAAAAAATATGGATATAGAAACTCGGCGTGAAGCCATAGAAAAAGTTAAAGGCAGTGGCGATATACATAAACGTGTTGTAGTAACATTGTCAGGTTCAGAGGTAATGTCTGCTTATTTTCAATTGTCTGAGATTGCATTAGGATTTATTTTTTATTTTTTTGCTATTTATACTAAGTATTAACCTTTTGTTTGAAAAGTATGAAATTAGATTTGTTTTTAATGTGAGTAATTAAATGTTGAGCAATTATTTGTTGGACATCTTGTCTTCTGCGGACATGATGATAAGCTTTTGGAGGACACTGAAGTACTAGTTAATTGAATACTTTTGATTTCAATTTAAGACTTACTGTAATTGATTGCTATAAGGTTGAAAATTGAACTTTATTTTTAACTCACATCCTCTTTTATAAAAATGAAAAGAGGGAAAGGGAGGATTTTATTTTGGAAATTGTGTGAAAATTATGTTTGCACTTGAAATGACAGCACACAATCCTTGTCTGACGTTCTAAAGATATGACATGATGTCACACAAAGTGACATTTTATTTTAAGAACTTGTTGCATCATGCATGTGTACTATTACAATCATGATTTTATAGATAATGAAAAATCAATGAAGATCTATACAAAATAAACCAAACACTTACACACATAGCACTATGATCAAAATGGTTAAAACTCATTGGAACAAAACTCTGGTAATATTTATGGCAATTGCAAAAAAAAAAATTATTAGATAAAAGAGGCTTTTATTTTCACTAAAGACTTTATTTTTATTTATAGTGTACAATGTGTAAATTTCATCCAATTGTTTTTGAATAATTTTGCTTTTACTTGCAGGTGAAAGATGAAGTAGCCAAGTTATTGGAGTTAAAGGCACAGTTGGGTGATGATCCTGGAAAGGGAAAATTTGTGTTAAAATGTCCAAAGGTAAATAGGAGTTTATTTCAAGAATGTAAGGTCTTATTAGCTGCAAGACATTTATTCATCTGTCATATATATAATAAAGAAATAAGGAGATGTGGTATGATTGCCAATGACACAACTATCCAGCAAAGTCCAAAGGACAATGAACGTTATCATTGATTGAAGGAAAACAACTATAGGTCACCATATGTGATTCAACATATAGTGAGCTACAAAGGGCAATGCAATGAAAAAATGTGAAACAATTCAAATGAGAAAACAAACTGTCTATTTTATGCTAAAAACAAATAAAACAGACAGAAACCAACAACAACCGCTCATTTAGAGGCTCCAGACAGGCACTTTAAAATTTTGTAGTGGTAGAATATTGTATATTTAGTATTTCACTTTTTCATCCTAAAGACTCTTTAAGCATGTTAAGGATATGCCATTACATGTACCTATAATATAAAAGTAGCAAACCTGATGAATATGACAGAGAATTTTATCAGAATTTTCCCCAAAGTAGATTGCTAAGTCTTCAAAGTTCATTTATCAACTTGTCTTCATTTTAAATACAAATGAACTGCAAGAACAAAACTTGAAACAATTCAAATGAGAAAACAAACTGTCTTTTTTAGCATTGTTTTATGCGAAAAAGACAAACAGAAACCAACGACAACCACTCATTTATAGGCTCCAGACAGGACTTAAAAATTTGATACATGTACCAGTGTTTACATGTACCAGTAAAAACACAACATTTTTGATCAACTTTCAATTGTTTTCAAAAGAATCAGAGAGTTGTAAGTTCATAGCATAAAGCCTTACGCAGAATATAATAAAAGATTTTTTGTTTTGTTTGTTTGCTTGATACAAAGTATTTCAACTTTGGTTCTTTTGCTGATCTATAAGAACATACATTAAAATTATTTATTTATTTGGGCATTTCCATCATGTCATTTTATATACCACAGGGAACAAAAGATTACAACCCGGAACAGATGTCCATAAGGGAGGGGGCATTTAAAACAATTATTGGTTGTTTCAAGCGTCACGGAGCAGAAACTATAGACACACCTGTATTTGAACTAAGAGTAAGTTTAGTTTTTTTGTTATTCGTTCCACCATATGAAAAATGCTGCAGTTTGATTGGATATTAGACATGATAGAAATTATATTTTTCACAAAATCAATGAATTTTATACTTTTCTCCTGTCTCTATTGTCTATGCCAATTGGGAATTTGGTAAAGCACTGTTTGTGAAAAATACAAAAATGTACCATGGTCGAAGGAAAATGTCACTTCTGAAAAATGCATATAAATATTCTCTCATGATTTGTATTAATCAACAGTGTCTTAATAAGCTAGGAGTTAGTTAAATGCTTAACTACTTTTACATGCTTTGTTACTTGATAACTGAAACTTTTCATATTTGATAAGTCAAATATACGGGAAGTTATTTAGGCATCCACTTTCATTTGCTAATACTTCTTATTTTTCAACGAAAGCATGGTCAGCAGCTCAAAGTCATGAAAGTGATGAGTTATAGCATATATACCAGAGAAATGTGTGAAGAAAAATGTAAAGTTCATTCAGATCTATCTGACAACAACTTCCTGTTCTCCAATGCTTTGAAATACCAGTGGGGATATACTTAGCATGACATTGCATGCGTTCTTGTTGGAAATGAAGTTTAAAATTGTGTATTTTCAGGAAACACTGAAAGGAAAATATGGAGAAGATTCAAAGTTGATATATGATTTACAGGATCAGGGTGGTGAATTATTATCTCTAAGATATGATCTAACAGTATCCTTCATGTTATATTCAAATTGTTGTATACCTCTCAGTATTTCTGGTTTTGGGAAATCACACAATGTTGACTTTTGGATGTATTCCATTACAGACAGGATATATTACAGCACTTATTTTTAGAAAATTCTCAGTAATTGAAGAAAAAAAAATGATTTAAATTCAAAAAAAATAATTCTGCACATCCTACAGACTTGTTTTCTGCTTATTTTAGACAAAATTCCTTAACTCATATAAGGTACCATTTGCAAGATATTTAGCCATGAATAAAATAACCAATATAAAACGATATCACATAGCCAAAGTTTACAGACGAGATAATCCAGCCATGACTAGAGGAAGATTTAGGGAATTCTACCAGTGTGTAAGTACTATTAACCTGTAACAAGTTTTGTAATACACTTTACATCTTCAATTACTGCAGAAGTCACTTATGTGTTCACCAATATTCGTACAACTGAGCAGTTCTATTAAGAGTTTATTAAAAACTATAATGGTTCTCCTATCAACACTTTTGTCCCCCACGCAATGCATTGCGGGGTACATAAAATACCGGGCGTCTGTCTGTCTGTCCAGTCTTGTTAGCGCTCTCTAGTGTACAATTCTTGTAAGATTTTTATGAAACTTATGTTATAGGTTTATATCAGCAATGTCTTGGACGAGATCAAAAATCAGTGCCGATCAATTATTTTTCAAAAAGTTATGTCCCTTGGAAATATTGATAATATGGAAAATTGCCGTGTGAGAGCTCTCATGTGTACAATTCTTGCCAGATTTTTATGAAATTTATATTATAGGCAGAGCTCTCCCCAGATATTTCATTTAGCATCCTGGTTAACAGGGAAATTTGAAATACCATCTTGTTTCTAAAAATTATAGCATCACATCCATAAGGCATAACACAATCTATAAGAAAACCAATCAAGATAGCATTACATTCAAGATTATAGCATCACATTACCATGATGCTAAAAGGCCCTGGGGAGAACACTGTTATAGGTTTATATCGTCATTGTCTCAGACAGATTAAAAAATCAGTGACGATCAATTATTTTAAAAGAGTTATGCCCTTGGAAATATTGATTATATGGAAAATTGCATTGTAAGCGCTCTCATGTGTACATATCTTGCCAGAATTTTATGAAACTTATATCATAGGTTTATATCAGCAATGTCTTTGACACTTTTGAAAATAAGTGCTGATCAAGTATTTTTAATGAGTTATGCCCTTTGGAAATATTAATTATGATGGAAATCGCATTGCATTTGCTCAGAAGCCTTCATTTCTCCAAGATATTTATAAAAAGTTTTATTATTAGTTATTGCCATTGTACCTTGCAGGCCTCTACAATAACTTTTTTTAAAACTTGTCCAGTAGGACAAGTACATACCAAAACTTATTTGTCCGAATGAAATTGTAACTTGTTCAAAAAAAATCATAATAATAAACTTTTTTGCATTTTAAGTTGATTCAAGGAACAAAATGAATTAAAACAATAGAACAGGATTTGATTTATATCTTTTGAAATACTTTTCAAAAATATGAGTTGAGAACAACTGAATCTAGTCATGTCACAGGACTTAGGTTCTAGCTTTCTTCAATGCCAAAGTCTCATCAGACTCTGCACATGAGGCACCGTCTTATAGGCCTGTCAGTGTACACTCATTGGATTTGTATCTTGGTTTTTAAGTTGAAAAAAGTTTTTTCAAATGCAATCAATTAAAAAAAGAAGATGAGGTATGATTGCCAATGAGACAACTCTCTGCAAGAGACCAATTGACACAAATTAACAACTATATGTCACCGTATTGCAAGTATTATTTTTTTCTACATATGATCAAATATGATTTTGTGAATTTTATGGTACATAATTTCTTCATTTTTATTTAAAAAATATTATTTGTTAAAAAAATTACCGGTATAGATTTATTATAAAGCAACAGAATAAGGTCGGAAACGAGGTACTGATTTGTCTTGGTCCCAAAATGTCTCCTGCATTGCCAAACTGTCTATTAATCATGTCCATTAAATATGTTTCCTACGGTGCCAAACTGTCTATTAAATTTGTAGCCGAATCATTTCCGAGCTGGTGACGAACTGTCTTGAAAAGTTACCATATCTACAAAGCGCATCGCTGATTCAGATCAATAAGACTGGTTTCCGAGAAAAGTATGCCTTTAACCTCTTAAAGTACCTGACAAAGAACCAGTTTTAAAGTATCGATTGCAAGAAAACATGTCAAATTAATACTTGTTTTTATCTTCTTTTCTTGTTTTTTGTTTATAATTACTTTGTTCATCAAAGTTGGATTAAATTTATTTTCTGCAGAATAATTTTACTTGTCCCGTCGGACAAGCTTGATATAGCTTTTACTTGTCCAACCTTTTTTTTCTCTGGTACCGGACAATCGGACAAGCGTTATTGTCGAGGGCTGCCTTGGATAAATAAAACATGTGCAACACAGGGGACATTGGAACTCTGTTTTTTTATTTGATAAATCGAAATGTATATATTGTATCATTGAAAATTTGATCTCATTTGTTTTCAAATCCAGTTGTATTGCCAAAAAAAACAAAGCAGAAGCTAAGAAAGTTTAAACAAGAGTTCACATATTCTTTTGAATTCTGTAGCCCTGGTTTTAAATTTCCCCTTCCCATCAATAATGTAGACTTTTTACAAACTATTCACACTAAGGGGATATATGCTCGCATTATGTTTGATTATGTAATGAGTGAAAATAACCACCTCACGAAAATTTCCAAGCTGACAGAATGGGCAAAGGATTAATATTCCTTTAATAATTGTATGTATTGATAACAGAATTTTCTATTGACAGGATTTTGACATAGCAGGTCAGTATGATGCCATGATACCTGATGCAGAGTGTGTAAAACTGGTGGTAGAAATTTTAACCAAATTAGAACTGGGAGAATTTGTTGTAAAGGTAAATATTCCTAAACATTCATTGGTAACAAGATTTAATAAACTAATATTAAAGCAATATTTTTCTAAAAGGGACATGGGAGTGTTAAAAATATGGAGTTAAATTCTAGTTGTTGCATATTTATAATAGAAGCCAGTAAAAGACATAAGTTCTTTACCTGGAAAATAGCAACATTAAATCTGAAAAGCAAAGAATTGGGGAATTTAAAAAATCAATCTGAAGTATTGATTTAATAACGTTCCATATCTTTGAAGGATGATGCTGTAAATTTATGTTTTTGAGTTTGTTTTTTTTTTTGCCTGCATACTTTGACAGCAGTGAATAAGTTTTATGATTTTTTTAGGTTAATCACAGAAAGTTATTAGATGGTATGTTTGCTGCCTGTGGAGTTCCAGATGATAAATTTAGAACAATTTGTTCCTCAGTAGATAAATTGGATAAGGTAAGTATTCCAAACATTTTTTGGAGACTGTATTGGTCAAGTATCTGAAACAGATAGGGGTCATTTGCTTTCACCTGGTATTCTATACAATAATGTCAGAAATGCATAAATATGGCACATTTGTGACAAAACCATGGTTATTATTTATTAACATTATTTCAGTTTTGTTTAGTTTGATTAAGACCGACTGTTGTAGAACAACATAGAGTTTGACTTAAATAAGTAGTTTTCTTCTTTCCTTGATATACAATAGCAAAATTGGACTTTAATGCCCTGATAAAGTGATTATATACATCATTTAGTGGATATTTGTATAGATGGCTGTAACTGGTCTTTGTACTGAATATTAAAATTGTTATTAATGCTCAAAATTGTAAATTACTTGTTAAAGTTATTCCCCATTTTTTGTTTGACAGTTTGAATTAATAGATCCTAAAAATAAACAAAAATGTCATTTTTGTTTTTTGATGACTTTAGTAGCAAAAATATCAAGCAAGTTGGGGAGATAGATATTCAAGCAGAAGTTAGTATAAAAAAACAGATATTTGTCTAAACAATATTGGGGTAGAATATGAAATTACACTCAAAATTAAAGGCAAAATGTACAAATTGCTGATAAGCTAAGATATGGAAAAATTTTAAATCACTGATATTTTTAGTGTTGAGTAAGAATTAATCATGTGTTGTTGAATAGTTATTTCAGACATTGGGACTTCATGTGTTTATATAATATTTATTTCAGACATTTTGGGATGATGTGAGATCTGAAATGATAGACGAGAAGAAATTAGATCCAGCGGCAGCTGACAGAATAGGTACCTATGTCAAATTAAAAGGTGGACTAGATTTAATAGAAGCCTTACTGAATGATGAAGACCTCAAAAAACAGAAAGCTGCAGTAGAGGGATTAGAAGATCTGAAATTGTTATTAAAATATTGTGATTTATTTGGCATTTTAGACAAGGTAAGAAGATTTTGTGTAGAGTGGGTGGCACATATTCGCCTTGGACACATTTTTGCGGTTTTGCTATTTTTTCTGTAAAATTTGTGTGCCTTTACCCAATACTTGCCTAAATAGATGGCTGTTTGTAATGGTTACAACTGTTGATATTCCTCTTTACCCCATTTCCAAGGTTATTCACACATATTGAGAAATACGCAAGTGTTTTTAAATGATTTTGGCAATTATGTAAGATTTATATGGCAATCATGTGCAGTCTTAAAGTAAATATTTGTGAGAAAAGTCGTATGGGAATGATCTCTCAAGCTTATTCATGTAATTGCAAACATTCGTTTTTATGATATACCAGGATAATGAGGATGGTCATATCATACATTGCGGCGAAAATGTATCCCCCATGGTACACGAACAACTTGATTTCCTCTTGAGTTTGCGTTCGATTTTAGAACAATTAACCAATGTTTTGAAGATAATTTCTTTATCAAACAAATTTTTCATATAGTAAAATTTCTGAAACCTTCATAAAAAGTTCATGATATTCATATGTAGGTTGGATGTAAGTGGAAATGAACGAATTTTGCGGCATTATGGGTCTCTTACTCTACTCCTAATAATACATCAGCATAAAAAACAGGAATCTCATAAACCAGTCTGACACTATATTTCAGTGAAATTTTTTTCAGTGTTGTTGTGTTTTGTTTGTTTTTTTTTTTTGTTGCTGTAAGTATTTTGAGTTTGGAGTTAATTTTTTTTAGAAATCAATTACTTTGTCAAATATTACTGTGGATTCATTATTATTCGTTGGATACCAAATATTGTGGATTTTGTGGTTAAAGGTAAACCACGAATTTAAATGCCTTTGAAGTACAAGTTTACTAAAGATTTGTATGCTGACTTTAGAAGAATCACTTAAATCAAATATTCACGATAATACAATTTTTCCTCAATCCACAAAAATAAATGAATTAACAGTAATTGAATTTATGAAACTTGAACAGAACTTGCTTCAGAGTCAAATGATAGCATGTTAACTTCTGAAGCCAAAGTTTATGTTCTATTATTTTGTATTTTACCAAGAAATAGCCAACTATACGGTATGGGTTTTTTCATTATTGAAGGCCTACGGTTGCCTATAAAAGCTTACATCCACTTTATTTGATCTTTGGTGGATAGTTGACTCATTGGCAATCATACCTCATCCCCTTATTTTTATACTATTCATTTGCAGTCCACTGTTAGTTTTTAAATTTCAAAGTTATTGTTAAACCTTCTAGGAATTTTTTTTAAAAAACTTAAACAGAAGTTCTTCATGATCAAGAGAGAGCATCCTGAAAAGTAATTTTAATTTTACCACATTTTACTGATAAATTGACTAAGCATTTTCAGTTCATTTGTTTATATCATCAAGCTAAAAAAATAAATTTGTATTGAATCATTGTTTGTACATTACAGGTATCTTTTGATTTAAGTTTAGCCAGAGGCTTAGATTATTATACAGGTGTTATTTATGAAGCTGTATTACAAGGTACGTCAAACTATTTTCATTTTGTTATGTTTGAATATAGTTTTGAATTTCAAATATTTTGGCCTCAAGCATCAGTGAAGAGACATTAATAGTCTAAATGTGCATCTGGTGAAGTAAAATTGGTATTATTAATGTTATTACCCCAAGCCTACATAAGAGAGATATAGATTTCACCACTGCAACAAGTGTGTTACTATATTTCTCCACTCGAGACAGTTAAATTTTAATATTTAATTAATATTTAAATAATTAAAATTTAACTGTTGAGAGTGGAGAAATATCGTAATACACGAGTTATAGTGGTGGAATCTGTTTCTCTAATGATTTTTATCCTTCCTTTTCAAAGATTTGCAGAAAGTTGTGTTCTTTATATGTGACGTCATCAGGCATGGTCGCCTTTTTTCATGACGTCACAATTGGAAATTCAGAAGAAACCTAAGAAAATCTGACGTCATAATTAAATTACGACCAATCATTTGCCGAGAACAAATATTTCACTAGTGAGGAGAAATATTTTTCTCACACCAATCAATAAATGTGAAAATAGCACAAAAATTAGAGAAAGGGCATTATGTTTTCCTTTATAAATGGATTCTTGCGTTTAAACCATTGGTTTTGTTTTTTATCAGTTTAAAGTTTGGGGTTTTAGGAAGTTTACCATGTAGTTTTGATCACATCAACTTGAAACACAAGTTCTTTATTAGGGAATTTGCGAAGATTTGTCAGGTCACTGAACTTGGGCATTGGTGTCCTATGGACAAATATTCTTGTTTTTTGTAAATTCAAAATATTTAACAAGTATATGAAAAATAAAAATTGCATTGAAAGGAACAATGAACATTGTCTTTTTACTTTAACTACCAGTAATTTCTTTCTTGGAAGTAGATGTGGGTTAAATTGATATTTAGTCTGGGTAAAACATGAAATTTGACCATATGTAAACTTATATTTTTTTTCTCTTTTAATGAACTCCCACTTTACATTTGACAGGTTTTGCACACAAACCATCTGCTGGTTCAGATGAGGAGAGTGTCAGTGTAGGCAGTGTGGCTGGTGGTGGACGATACGATGGTCTGGTTGGTATGTTTGATCCCAAAGGAAGGAAGGTACCGTGTGTTGGTGTCAGTATTGGTATTGAAAGGGTTTTCTCCATACTGGAATCCAGAGCCAATGTGAGTATTTATAAAAAGAGGATCAAGAGAGTTAAAAAAAATCCCCATGTAACCACCTCTTTGTTTGTGGACTCTGATATCTTTATGAATTTATGGATGTGTCTGTAGAAATTTTGCATGCATATTCAGGACAAGATCATGTTAATTTGAAATAAATATTGATTCTGCTTTGTACTAAACCGACTTGATGAGTAACAATCCACTGGAAGACATGTCAGTCTGATTCTAAGTGGATGTCTTCACTTAAGATAAGTATGCTCAGTGGGTAATCTGACCAATGCAAAACTTATAGGACCAATACAAACATTTTCCTTGTATATTTTTATAAAGATGTTTTTTCTGAAAAGCTGTACAAACTTTTTTTTGAGTCAGTTACGTATTATGGAAAGTGGAGAATGAAATAAGTGCTAGTTTCTTTTTCTTGATTTTAAGATCAGCTGATTGGACCAGATGTTTTGTAATTTTGTTTACAAAAGCACATCAAAAACAACAATATTTTTTCATATTTATTTATTATTACTATGTTTTTGATAATTGTTTGTTAGTACCTAATATTTCAAACAAGTTTATTTGATATGTGAAATTGCAGATTTTAAGAATAACATACTTGTTATATCTTTTAACTATAAATACCATTTACAATTAATGAATTACAGGAAGGGAGATAATTTACCAGTTTTATTATTAAGGGAGATAATTTTGATAATAGGTACAAATAGATCAATAAGACATGTCTTAGTACAAAGATATGGGATTTGAGATTTAATTGTAATTATAAAAAATATCTAGAAATGCCCTATCAAAAATTTGTATAGATTTTCTATCTATTTTTAATTACAAGTCTTCCAATGTGAAAACCAGAACCACAGATACAGAAGTTTTTGTTGTATCAGCTCACAATGGCCTTCTAGAAGCTAGAATGAAACTCTGCAATGAATTATGGGATGCTGATATAAAGGTATGTATACTGTGGAGAGTCTCAGTTTGGTTGATACTATAAAATTGTGTGTTAGACACCCCATAAAATGCATTGAAAAGTAAAAAAAGAATTGCTCACTGTTATCATTTAAAAATCCAAAGAAACAATATTTTTTTTGGATGCAGCATAACCAGCCCTTAAATTCTGTCAAATTCATTTGGATATTATACAGCAGGGAAAAAAAACCTTGTTTCGGTGTTAATGTTTGAAACTAAACTACAATTTTAAGTAGCCGAAAATGATTAAATCTCTTTTGGATAGAAAAATGCATTGGGACATAATAATAAAAACATTTTAGTACTTGCCCTTATTAACTTTTATTTATTGTTTATTTCAGACTGAACAATCTTATAAGAAGAACCCTAAGTCATTAAGTCAGTTTCAGTATTGTGAAAGTAGTGGTATACCTATAGCTGTTATTATAGGTTCTAGTGAATTAGAGAAGAATATCGTAAAGTTAAGGATTGTGGAAACAAGAGAGGAGGTTTGTTACTAAATAGTGCTACTTTATCTTTGCAAAATTTCTTAGGCTATTCCAGGAAAAGTTGATGGGGGATTGGACAACACTTAACCCACACCCGTAATTTTTGTTTTCATTTGTAACATAATTGTATTTGGCTCCACTCGTACTATTCAGAGAAAACATGTGGTGTCGAACCCTTCCATACATGTTTTGCTGGAAAAAACTTTATCATTTTGTACAGCACTTCGGGAATTTCTATGTTACAACTTGGGGAGAGATTTTATGCTACAATATAAATATTTGAACTGCAGTTATCAGTGATATCTTAAGCTTTGACCCTAATGAAATCAATTTTAATCTAATGTCATCATGGCAAGCTTCTGTAAACTCTTGCCTCCAGGCCCTCATAAAGAGAAAACTTTCAACTCTGAATCATGGGTATTATGGAAACTGATGTAAAACAAGCTCTCCCATCAAGGTTGCTGTCTTGTTGATCTATAATCCACATCTTCTTTAATTAAGATCTCATTTCAGTGGATTCCCATTAATCTTGGGTTCAGCCTCAAAATAAAATGTTAAAATCTGTTTAAGTGTTTACTTATATTATGTGGCATTGTGTTGCAGTTTCATTGGCTTTTCAATACTTATATTATGTGGCATTGTGTTGCAGTTTCATTGACTTTTCAATACTTATATTATGTGGCATTGTCTTGCAGTTTCATTGACTTTTCAATACTTATAATATGTGGCATTGTGTTGCAGTTTCATTGACTTTTCAATACTTATATTATGTGGCATTGTGTTGCAGTTTCATTGACTTTTCAATACTTATATTATGTGGCATTGTGTTGCTGTTTCATTGACTTTTCATTTACCGTAGAAAGGCTTGTATAGTTCGCACTGGTACATAGTCCGCACCCCCTTCTCCCCACGAAATTTTAGGTAAAAAAACTTTTTGTAACTGTTAGAAAAGGTCTAATGAAACTCAGGTAATTTCAAATCCTGTGCGGTCGTTTGCGGTATTTTCTTGGAAAAACCTGTTTTCCATCATCAAACAGAAGCTAAAACTGCTTGTAAATGATTCTAGAACGCTTCATGATTGTTAAAATAAGTTTAATTCACTTAAAAAACAATTTGGAAACTTGTGTATGTTTAAACAGGAAGTTTAAAAAGCACGTGTAAAAGAAGAAATTAACCGGTGAGAGTCGAAATCCGTACATAACAGATATCACTATAATACGACTTTGAAAGTAAAACAGTTCCATCCTTTTGTAAAACAGTCTTTAATATATATATCACATTAATGTTTGAAGGGTCTTAAGCTAATATAAACCATATTAGTCAGTATGAAACAACAAAACGGAACGAACAATAACCGATTACGTTTTGTAGTTTACAAATTCTAAGCTGGTTTACGGTTGTCTTTTTCACTATGTTTGTATCGTTTCAATCAAGCAGGTACCAGTTTATTTCAACCAATGCATTGAAAAGAAACGAGAAATTTGTAATGAAAGGTTTAGTTTTTATATTTATCAGTATTAATTTGATATTGAATAGAAATAACTTATTAATATGGATGAGTTAAAATTATTAGTTTGAAAAATGATAAGAGCGCCCTCTACAATATAAATAACAAAGATGGCGGAACGTAAACAAACCACCTCGCCTGCGAAATTGAAATTTTTCTCTTATTTCTTGCTTATTGTACTCTATAGTCCGCACCCCGTCTGGAAGGTCCGATTTTGGAGAATAAAACCGCGGACTATACAAGCCTTTCTACGGTATTAATTATGAAAAAAAAGGTGATTTTATTTATGAAGTTTTCTTTTTTCAGATGGAAGTATCAAGAGAGAAAATGGTAGATGAAATCAGATCAACGTTGGCCAGATTATCACAACAGAAGACACAAAATAATGCCTCTGGTTCATAACAACTGACAGAACTTTATTTATTTATTGTCCCCCATTATGTCAGACATTAACTGTTAACTTGTGCATGTTATAGTGCAATACTAAATAACTGCCTACCACATTGTATGTACCAGTACAATGTATTAATTTGCTTTAAATATTTTATTACAACAGGCTATTTAGAATTTTGTATAAGACAATATTAGTTAGGCCTACCATAATTTCCTTGCACAAAATGGCTTAAAAGCAAAAATGAAATGTAAAGCATCATAATGGCAATTACAGTTGCTTTCTCAAAATTTTCTCAGACAATGAAGTGAAGGGGTCTGTCAATACTGTTGATATTATCTGTTAAAACACTTTATCTTTTGTGACCAGACTTTTTTAAATGAATGGTATGCTCTTTTGTATTTCCTAAGGGTTTGGATATTTTTATTTAATTTTTTCACTTTGACCAGTTGGATGTTTTCAAGTTTCAGTAAGTTTAAGGTATATGGCACTTTATTGTTACTTTTAAATTTTCTTTTTTTGCATACCATTACTCTATTTAATTATTAAGAAAAGAATTGTTTCATCTATCATTGTTTAATGAAATTAAGTTCATAAATTACAAAGTTTGAATAAATAAATAAAAACAAAGTATTTTCATTTTAATAATGCCAAAAAAATGACACAATTTAATTGTAGGTTCAGAGTGCACTGTACAAAATCCAATCTATGAATATTGAACGTGTATTATATTTTTTATGCTGAGTATTCAACATTTTGAGCAAAGGCTATTCAAATGGAATTTTAACATTTCATAATTTGATTTTTCCTATTGATAAATAGTAGTGAGTCAACAAAAATCACTGTTACATGCTGTTTTAGATCACAGAAGGATAGGGACAGTGTTAGTACAAAGAAGAAATCCTATTCACATTTTACTTATATTGCTATTACTGCTTATTTATAAAAAAATAGAAGATGTGGTATGATTGTCAATGAGACAACTCTCCACAAGAGACCAAATGACATAGAAATTAACAAGCTCTCATGATGGAAATGTTCAGTGGTGGCCATTGCCATCATCAGTCATGACGTCCGTACTTCTGTCATCTTGCTGTCAGTCCATTGATTTTTTATTTTTTTTTTACATATTCCCTTTTTCTGAATTGTAAGAAGCAACCAAAAATCATACAATGATGGACAACACCATGACAGAAAAAACAAAAAGAGAAAAGCAATCTGTCCTGAAAACATAAGGGCTATTCCATTAAAATGTATGTGGAAGGGTAGGAAGGGAAGTTTAATTATTGAATGTGGATCATGGGTCTTTTTTCAGTATGCGTCTATTACCATTATGCAAAATTATCTAAAAAATGGTCCTTGGTTGTAGGGATATTTTGAAAGTCCCTTCCTACACTGCCACATACATTTTAATGGAATAGCCCTAACACTGACAAGATTAATGATAAAACCTGTGGTAAACACAGGGGCTTTGGAAGGATAAGCAGTTCCTGCTCCACTAGTTAAACATGTCGGTCATGTTATTTATTTGGCTAATTTTGAAGAAACTGAATCATATTGCTAATAGACCTAAATTTTGTATTAAAATAAGGGTTCCATTACAAAGTCAAATAATGGGATGTTATTTGGCAACTTTAGCAACATAATGCAAAAGTCATTATTGGCCTCTTAGGGTAAATTGGAATGCTTTTCATGTCAGTAATAAAAGGAAGGATAGCTAAGCTAAGGTCTGGAAGAGACTTGTTTTGTGTGTTTCAGTCAATAGTTTTGGCACCCATCAAGCCAGTTCTATTTATAAGTATCAAAATATCCTATTTTGCCTTTATTTAAAGGCAGATTAACTAAATTTTCTAGATTCTAAATATATGCAGTACAAAGTATGGCTCTGAGGTAACAGGTTGTGAGTTCATGTCTTGGAAAGGTTTGTTGGACTCAGATCTTTTTGCCAGTTTTCTGTCTTCCACCAACACAACTGGCTGCCATGATATAACCAAAGTTGTTTATGGAACAAACAAACAAAGTATGCCATACTGAACTTTGAAAGGGTAAAATAGACTGACAGGAACTCTTAGATAAAGTTTTGTTTCTGTGCTTATGGGCAGTAGGCAGGGCTATAAGGATGTATATATATGTTCTACTGTTTCAATTTGAGAACAAATGCAGCTGATGAATTAAATGCACACTAATTCTAGTAGCGATAAACCAGATCTACAAATGTAATATACAGAACACACATGTGCTCAAATATCCTAGATAAAATGTTGTGTGTTATATCACAATTTATGCAATGTGTAAATTTCCAGGCATGTCCAAAGTATTATAAAGAGGAATTCCAGTGCATGGGACATTTTAATTCTGTTTAAAAAGCTTGAGCAGACTTTCTAAACTGTTATAAAAACAAAAACGTTTATGGAGGTCAGAACAAAAAAAGTGCATGGATTTCATAGAAGAATTCATATTCAAAGAATACTGTCAACAGGAAATCACATGTTTAACAAGAATAAATGCAACTCATTGCTAATGGCATAGATATATATGGATAAAAAGAAATGTGTATGAACTTGAGACAGGAACCCAACAACATAATTAGTACATTAAAAAAACATCTAGATATCAGCATAGTCCTCAATAATGGACTTGGTCAATAAACTTCAAACAAGCTCTAAATGACCCAATGGCTAGACAAGTTGTGAATGAATTCTATAAGGTCCTACATCATGTTGTAATGTTGCTTCAGTTTTAACTCAGCTTACAGAGGGCAACTTTGAATCTTTGTTACCTCTTTCCATCTTTATAATTAGAGATTGCGTGCATTCTTTTTCACATAAAACAACACGAAGGAATAAAACCATATGCATTGAATATAGTCTTCATTCAAATAAGGTAAGTCCTGTTTGATTATGTGGATTCTGTTTGTTTACACTGTAGTGCAAATCAACCATGCAAAAATTCATATGTATTTTCCGAGTGATGGTGGTGTAATAATGACAAAGCTTAACTAGATGCCCAGCAGATGAGAATGTTTTTACAATCCGAGCACTTTTAACTAGAAATTTTTTTTCTTTGGATCCAGTTCCTAAATTAAGCTATCATGTACACACAATACCTGATTGTGTATGGTAATATTTTTCACTCTTTTTATAGACACACCACTGAAAATTATTTGAACTTTCACATGTCTGGTTTTGTGTGATGGATTACTGTCTCTTTAACACCCCACACATCTCCTTTTAATTATCTGTTCACATCAGAAGTCATTTTACACATGAATTCAACAGCACTTACTGAAAGTAAGACATTGTTGCAATTGTATATACTTCTGAAAAAAGGTTTATGCAGATTTTACCTATAAACAACACTGCCAGCTGCAATATTTGGTAATGTCTTAAATTAAATCTGAGTGTTTTTTTCTGGGGTCTAGGTTGTAAGTTTTGATATATGCAGAAAATAAATTCTTTATGGCCAATATTTAAGTAAAAGTTAATGATAATCTTCATCTTGTTTGAGTTGAAATTTGAAGGAAGAAAACTAAGTGGGATTGGAAGATTAACAATCTGTTAAGTTCAATTGAAAATGAATAATTGAATCCCCCAAAAGTCTTATCTTATTTATTTAAAATTTAATACAAATAAAAAAAAAATATTCCCTATAAGAATGTGTTTTTTTTCGGAATTAATTCGTTGCCGTGACCGTGATAATTACATTTTTATAAGCATTCAGTATTAGTCACTAGTGCGCTTAAAATTAAATGTGATTTAACAAAGCGTCTAAATAACGATGATTTATTTATTCGTTGCTCTGGACAACAACAAAGTTAGCGAAAAAGATGTCAGGACTACCAAGAGAAGTTTTGAAGTGGATTCAGAGTCTTGACTTAACTTGGCAAATAAAAACTGCAAAATGGTAAACTATCTTGAATTTCGCATTGATGTGAATACGATATTTTTTTTTATCCAAGAAAGAATGAACAGAACATGAATCATGATAATTGCTTAGGCATTTTTTAAGTTGGCACACAATTAAATTATGCAGTTTTAAATGTTCCTGATGAGATCCTGGGAGTTATTTTGTTTAACTTTTCAGTAGCAATGTCACATGACTCGTTAGGTGCTAACCCCTTCTTTAATCCAATTTTTCAAGCCTGACAACATATTTATAATAACTACACTTATTTGCAATAACTATTTCAAGTATTTGTCAAGTACAATTTTTTTTTTACTATATCTTTCATATAAAACTACATTTATTCACATACAATTATGAGGCTGCTTTTTGTGGGACTTTAATAGACATTATCGCTATTTGAGAGTAATTGACACTTGACCTGAAAATTTGCAACACTTGAACTATACACCAATCTCAAGTTGTTTTTATGAAGGAGGTCAATCAGGGTCATCGATCAATCGGTTCTTACTGTGACGTAATAACATTATCACTGTGACATAAGAAATTTATGAAAAAAGTGCAGGAATTTGAAAGTCATCTATTGACCTCATACAACAATCACTTTCCTTTGTGCCAATTGTGGCATCAGCTATTTTCTATTGTGATGTCAAAATTTGACGAGAACCTTTGTGATGTCCAGTAATGGCGGACAATTAGCGATAAGGTGTATGAACTTGGTACCAATAGAAGCAGAATTGTCAGAGATTTATTTGGTTGTAATTTTGTTGCTTTAAATAGTGTAATGTCTGAAATGAAACTTAAATAAAAAAAGGTAATAACAAATAAAAAAAGAAAAGAAACTCCTCCATGTGAATTGTCCATAAGGAGAGAGGATAGAGGAAAATATGACATGATGCAAACTCTGTATGCCACACATCTCTAATTTGTCGCCACAATTACCATCATGGTGCTGTCCATAAATCCTGGGGAGAACACTGAAAGTTATCTCTTACCTGATAATATTACCTTTAATTAAATCATAAGTTATAGTAAACTTATTCAACTGATTTTGTATGTTACCGTAATCAAAAGTTTTATTTGAATTAAAGTTACAGTTACTAGTAAGAAATGTACAGAATAAAATTTTACCCCAAAAAACAAAAACATACCTTAACACTACATTGTAATAGCAAATTCGTTTTGACTTATGTCAAATGTATGTTCATACAAAATATTTAGTATGCAGGTAAGATTTATTAGGGGAAAACTATTCTAAATTGTCATTCTTAAGCAAAAAATTTAGTAATTAAAAATTTTACAAGGAAAACAGAATGATTATATAATAATTATATAGAAATGTTAGCATTTATTAGCGAAAAGTTCAGGTGTTGGTATTCAATCAGAAAAAGATATGACAGAACAGCAATTCATATTGCCGTACAAAAGCATTAATGACTGAGGTACATATCATCATTATGTATCAATTAGATGACAGAAAAGTAGAAGCAATTAAGATTTCATTTCAAATCCACATTTATTTTTAAAACATCTTCTGAAAGTGTTACTGATTCTGGCAAAAATAAGATAATGACACTATTCCTGTTTTATAAAAACAAATTGCTCTTTTTAGAATACTGTAAATTCAGAAATTATTGTGTGCATTTATTATTGCGATTTTGTCATTTTGGACTAAAATGCATTTTTAATTTTTGCGATATTGAGAAAAATCCTGTTTAATTCATATAAAAAATTTCAAAATGCGATTTTAAATTATTGCGATTATAACCCTGTCGCATTTTTCGCAATAATAAAAACATCGCAATAATTTTTGAATTTACAGTAAGAGAAAAGATAAAATAATTATTTATTATATATATATATAATTACTTCTATGTAAATTAGATACTGTTTGTATAGTCATCAAATATCTACAACATACTGTTTGTATAGTCATCACATATCTATAACATACTGTTGTGTTTTGTCTTGCAGGGATGTTACAAATGGTTACTTAATAGCTGAAATTTTCTCTTGGTACTTTCCACAAGACATACAGATGCACTCTTACAATAATGGGACATCACTGGATTCTAAACAGAAGAACTGGTATCTATTAAAACTTGTAAGTAAACTTTATTCATAGCTAATTGACATTATCCATTTAAATGTTAGAATTGCATGGTATTGACCCATCAATAGTACCAGTTGTCTAGTCCAGGCCTGGGGCCATTACATTTCAATGTAATGCATTACATTACAATTACTTTGTGATTCTTCCATTACAATTACAATTACATTTTTTCTCACATGTAATGCATTACATTACAATTACTTTGCCTGTGTAATGCATTACATTACACATTACTTTTTCAATATAAAAACTAAAAACATTTCAAAAACAGATTTTTATAAGAAATTGATAAATATTACCGGGGTATATGTACATATATATACAGTGTTGGTGACATAGACTTCAAATACTGGTTAATTAACATGTCCATTGAACTTTATCATCATAAGTGTTTCAAAAGTGCTGTCATTAAGAGAACAGCAATCAGGTCTGTACACCTTTCCGGCAATACTAAAAAGCCTTTCTACAGGAGCTGATGTGGAGGGAATGGCTAAATACTTGATAGCTGTATTAGCCAAAGAAAAATAAATAAATTATCATATAATTTTGTTTCTAACATTGATCACTTAATCATTAAGATATCATAAAGGGATTTCAAGGGATATAATAAATGTGTCATTAAAGGATTATCTTGTTAAATGCCTAAGGGCTCTGTGAGGACAAACATAAGTTGAGAAGATTTGATTGCAATAAAAACATTTTGAAATTAATTAGGTGAAATAACAACACAGACAGGACCCAAACCACAGTTTGGTGTAAAAATGTTGATTGACATATTCAATCTTTCATTGAAATACATGTAAGGTGTATATAGAATTATGAAAATTTCATATTCATATTTTTTCCTTTCATCTATATGTAGTTTTGTTTAATAATTTTTTTAGAAGATTTTTCATGGACCACCAAATACCAAAATATTCCCAATATAATTTTATACAAATATCAGAAACCAAGATCAAGACTTGATGATTTTCACTTTTTTTTTCATTTGCTGGATTAAAGTTTAGTTGGCCTAGGGGATTTAGTTAAGGATCCTTGAAGAAAAGTTTTAAGGGCAAACTATCTATAATGATTTAATACAGTAATTAACTGTGACAATAATTTTATTCAATACTTTCTTTTGTTTTTGTTAATATTTTATTTTTATTTTACTATATTCTTCAATTTTATGTATTTTACCAATTTGTAATGAAAAGTAATGAATAGTAATGGAGGCATTACATTGATTTTTAACTAAAGTAATCATTACATTACATGTAATTGTAATGCAGAAAATGTGCATTACAAATTACTTTGCATTACATCAAAAAAATGTAATATTACAATGCATTACAATTACAAATTACCATTACCCCAGGCCTGGTCTAGTCTCAATATTTTTGTGAACATTATGCAATGTTTACTTATCACAATCAAAATACCACAATAACGAGTTCTGTATTAATTGAAAACTACAATGTTTTGTGACTGTAACAAAGGTACTCCCCATACTAAGTGAGGATTCAGATCTAATTGTAGGACTTGCTAATACTTACAGATACTTGTTAATTAAAACTTTCAAAGACTAGACTGAAATACTCATTTTTGTCTCTTTTAAGGCGAAAGTGGTGGAAAGCGAGACATAGGGATTGCTTTTCCAACGATGATGATGACAATGTTAAGAATAAGTTTTCTGCTTAAGTTAGTTTGATATGAACTACTTGTGATTGATCATCTGCTTAAGTTAATTAGTTTGATAGGAACTACTTACAATAGACCACGACATTTTCTATAAAGTTACATTACTGTCTGTACATCTCAGTTTTTTTACCATTTTAAGGCAGGGCCTACTAGTTCATGGTCCAGCGTCTTTGAATTAATTAGCAATGTTGTCCATCTGATTGTCTTTTTCTTAATTTCATGCCGATATATCTCTGTGTCAACAGTTTATTTTAAGCAGATTTGGTAATACAATATGTTAGTATTGTTTGAAAAAGCATTACCCATGTGAAATGAATGATTCAAACAATGAACCTCCAAAAAGATTTCAGACAAACAGTACCAGGCAAAACTTACACAATCTAAGTAGGATTTTTAAAACCTGGATATACTGTAAATTAAATCATTATGGTGTGCATTTTTTGGTGAAACATTGACAACAATGACAGGTTTAATCAGAACATATTTGTTTATTTTTAGTTCATAAAAAGACACTCTTTAGACATACCAGAGGAATATATAGATGGCACTATTCATTGTAAGGAGGGAGCAGCTGCCATGTTGTTAGAAATAATTTATGAATTGTTAACCAACAGGAAGTAAGTGAAATACACCTTTGAAGAATATACATTTACTTAAAAGTTTTTATTGCTCAAAGTTAAAGCCTACATTTTCTCTTAATGACATTGATTCTTTAACCATGAATTACTTCATCCTTATAGTTAATGCCATTTGATAAAAGCATTTATATTGATTGATTGATTGATTGTTGGTTGTCAAGTGGCAAATATTTCAGGCATGTTCAGGACCAGAACAAATTAATTAAAGCATTTTATATATATCCTATCAACAAATAGTTTCATTAAGATCAAATGGAAAAAATATATCAAACAGTCTTGTTAAGTATCAAGATGAAATATGCTGTTTTTCCTTAATTTTATGATCAACTGTTTTGGAAACCGGAAAACAGTACAACTATTTGTGCCTCTGGATCTCATGCAAATTAAAGAACATGTAGAAAAATTGGAAACCAACGATAAAAGCTAAAACAACCAAAGAACATTCTTCATATGTTTGATAAAAGACAAAAATTTGCCTAATATTTTGACCTAAAAGGTCTTTATCAATGGGTATATTGTAAACAGATAATAAAATAAATGTCTGACAAAGTGTTTGAAAAAATTTGTACCAGTCGTTTTATACAGATCAAACATTAGTGGCTTTCTAAACTTTTTGAATAGGGTGACATATAAGATGCTTATTTCCTACTTTGTCATTTTTATCAGAGTAAAGAAAACTCAGACAGAAGAACCAGATTTTACAGACAAACTTTATCAAGAAAAACTTCCAATGCATGCTAGATCAACAGCATCAAAAGCAGTAAAAAATAACCTAAGAATTACAGAAATCATGGCCGATCAAAACCTTATACTTGGTGCTCAAAAGGTATTTTATATTGTGGAAACATTACTGCAACTTTTATTTTGTGAGATTTTTATTACTGCTTACAACATAGCACTAAGTATTCTTGGAATTGAAAAAGTGAGTTGTCTCCCATGGATAATTACATATATAATAAAAAGTACATTTCATTAGACTAAGTGTTGATAACTGCAAAAGGGTTGTCTATTATTTTCTGTCAATAAGTGCTGCACTTATTAGTTGTTTTTTTTATAAGTTACAAAAATGAGCTATTTCCATCGTTTCATTCTTTTAAACATTACAATGTATATATAGCAGTTGTTGTAAATGTAAGTCATAGATATTGGACACCATAAAAAATATGAAATATATTGAGGAAATATTTTTAAAAGTAATAAGAAATATAAAGAGAAATATTTATTTTCAGTCCCAGAAAATTATAAATGACCATATAGAGCACAGACGACAAGAGAGATACCAGAATCCAGACCGATTCCAGGTAAAACCAACACTCGGTGAACTATGTGTACGGAGACCACCACCACAACCAACTCAGCCAACATTTGAAGACAGTACCATGGGGGAATCTGCTGCTGTTCCTAGTCAAGCTAATCCTGAAGGTATATAAAGTTGTGTTGTAAAAGAAAAGGCACAATTTTTATGCCTTATTTATGGGCATTATGCTTTTCGTTCTGTGCATCCTTTCGTTCGTCCATTCCTTCGTCCTTCTGTCCCGCTTCAGGTTAAAGTTTTTGGTCAAGGTAGTTTTTGATGAAGTTGAAGTCCAATCAACTTGAAGTGTAGTACACATGTTCACTATGATATGATCTTTCTAATTTTAATGCCAAATTAGAAAAAATTTTGACCCCAATTTCACGGTCCACTGAACATAGAAAATAATAGTGCAAGTGGGGCATCCATGTACTATGGACACATTTTTGTTTGTATCTGAATAGAGGGGTGGTAGGATGGGTTTCCCGAATTCCCAGAAAAACAAATGCTTATCTGGAATTTCACAAAAAAATATAGCATTTTTATGCCCCGTCGTAGTGGTGGGAGCATTAAGTTTTACCCTTGTCCGTCTGTACGTACGTCCCAAAATTGGTTTCTATTCTCTAACTTGAGTTTGCCTCAACCAAATGATATGAAACTTAAACACAATGCTTATTATCACAAAACACAGATCAAGTTTGAATTTTGGTGGTGTCACTTTAACTGTTCTGAGTTATGCCCCTTTATAAATGGAAAAATTGCAAAATTTTTAGTTTCCGTTCTCTAACTTAAGTTTGCCTCAACCAAATGTTATGAAACTTATCCTTAATGCTTATTACCACAAAACACAGATCAAGATTGAATTTTGGTGGTGTCACTTTAACAGTTCTAGAGTTATGCCCCTTTATAAATGGAAAAATTGCAAAATTTTTATTTTCTTCTTTATATCAAGTAATTTTTAAAATTGGAGTTATCTTCCTTTGTCCATGATTATAGTTGAATCAACTACAATCAATGCTTTATACAATGCAATGTTTAATTTTGATTTCCACTGATAAAACACAGATCAAGTTGAATTTGGGTAGTGTCACTTTAACCATTATTGAGTTTTAAAATCGAAAAATTGCAAAATTTTTAGTTTCCGTTCTGTAACTTAAGTTTGCCCCAACCAAACATTATGAAACCTATACACAATATTCATTACCACAAAACTAAGATCAAGTACAAATTTTTTGTTTCCGTTTTCTAACTTTAGTTTGCCTCAACCAAATGTAATGAAACTTATACACAATGCTTATTACTACATAATACAGATTAAGTACGAAATTTGGTGGCGACACTTTTACCATTCTTGAGTTGTGTCCCTTTATAAACATAAAAATTGCTGAATTTTTCTTTTCTGTTCTCTAACTTTAGTTTGTCTCAACCAAATGTTATAAAACTTATACACAACCATTCTAGAGTTATGCAAGTTTACAAAGAGAAAAATTGCTGAATTTTTAGTTTCTGTTCTCTACCTAAGTTAGCCTCAACCAAATGTTATGAGACTTACACACAATGCTTATTACCACGAAACTCAGATCAAGTTCAAATTTCGGTAGGGTCACATTTATCGTTCTTCAGTTATGTCTCTTTACAACTATATGATATGCAAGCAGGAGCATCATCTGTGTCCACATGTGGACACTATCCACATTTATTTCCTCATTAATTCCTGAATCCTGATAAATGAAAATCCAGAATTCTCGCTAAAATAATGGTTCAATCCCAACCTCCCATTTAAAGGTCCATCCCCCCCTCTGAATAGTTTAGTCACTCTTAGGAACACACAGCATGATGAAAAAGGGAATTCTTATGAAAAATTATTAGTTGTCTCCTCTTGTATTGTTTTGTTTGTAGTTATTAACTATTCATTCAACACATCTTTACGAAGACAACAACTTCAAATTTTCATTGGTTTATTTTACTTTTTGGTCTATTGATTTTTATCAAAACTGTATTTCATTAATAATTTTCATTAAAATTGTATCTATATTAAGGATATTAATTTAGAATTGAAGCTCAGTATCCTTTCAACTATTGTTGTAAAATGAATATTGATTATATTTCAGATTTAATAACAAACAAATTTTTCTTATATTTCAGATTTACAAAGCATGTCAAGAGAACCAAGTGTACAATTTAAAGAAATTGAAGTCAATCAGATGGACAAATCAGCTCTTTACAATATGCCTATTCAGGGCTACTAAAATAATAAACCCAATCAAAATACTAAAAATACATAATCAGGACTTCTTTAGTCCTCCTTAACTGACAATGATGTGAGCACCATGCTAATAGTTTTATTAAAAATTAATATATGCTGTGTTCTATGGGAATGTTTTTGGTGTCAGTATTGCTTACATTTTGCATACAATGATAAGCTGATGGGAAGTGTTTAAGATACTCCTTCTAAAATATGCATACACAATTTCAAACAGAGCAGATTCTTCTATTTTGAAAATTTAAAGCATGTTAAAGTTTATCATACATGAAGTTTTCTGTTGTCGAAGGTAACATTTGCTATCCATTCATTTTAATGTGTTGTGCTATGATGTACTTCAAGGTACTCCAGTCGTTATGAAACACCAAAATTCTTTTGCAATTTTCAACCTGGACATTATGTCCAATGAAATGCATAGAATTAATGAAAAGGTTAATTCTTTATTATTCTCTCCAGAGAGTTATTACAATACTGCTGAACTCAACTCTAAAATTTTCATTTGAGACTAGTTATTCAACCTTTTTGGTAGGTAGATATACAATGAGGAACAATGGTTGGAAATAGATATTATAATAGAAATAGATGTCCTATGCAGTTTTTGTGTTGTTGTCTCAATGGCATATATTTTTTGCCACCTTTAATTCATTAAACTGCATATTGCATTGGATTTCATCTTTTTAATCAAGTATGGTAAGAATTTATGCCGAAAGAAAAGAGATCTTTTGAAATTAATATCTTATATTTCTGGAAAATTAACAGCAAATATCTGTTTCTACTCATTCACTTTATTGCATTGAACCAATACTTCTTCCTGGGAAGGTTGATACCTGGTATTAAATTATATTTTTGGATTTTACATTCCATTTTTATATGCCCGTCAATTTTTGACGGGACGTATTATGGTATACAAATGTCCGATGTCCGTCCATCCATCCGTCTGTCTGTCCCACATAAACATGTCGCACCTTTTCTTGATAATGACTTATCCAAATTTCATGAAACTTAACATAGTTGTTTCTTATGATGGTCAAACAACCTGTATACTTTTTGGTGAAAATAAGATTAAAACTTTTTGAGTTACGGAACTTAGTAACTAAAACAGGTGTGTGTTTTTTTTTCACATGTCGCAACATATCTCAAAAACAATTTATGATTATTGCTTAAAACTTTACACACTTCTTAGTTATATTAATCTTAAGATCTGTATACTTTTTGGTGATGATTCAAAATTTTATTTTAGAGATATTGAGTATTTTGTTAAAAAAGGGGGAGGGGTTTTTCACATGTCGCGCAGTATCTCAAAAACAGTTTATTATTATTGCTTAAAACTTTACACACTTCTTTGTTATATTGACCTTAAAATCTGTATACTTTTTGGTGATGATTCAAAATTGTATTTTTGAGTTATTGAGTATTTTGTAAAAAAAGGGGGAGGGGTTTTTCACATGTCGCGCTGTATCTCAAAAACGATTTATGATTATTGCTTAAAATTTTACACACTTCTTAGTTATATTAATCTAAAGATCTGTATACTTTTTGGTTTTGATTCAAAATTTTATTTTTGAGATATTGATTTTTTTTTTTTAAAGGGGGGTTTTCACATGTTGCGCTGTATCTCAAAAACGATTTATGATTATTGCTTAAAATTTTACACACTTCTCAGTTATATTAATCTTAAGATCTGTATACTTTTTGGTTTTGATTCAAAATTTTGTTTTTGAGATATTGATTTTTTTTTTAAAAGGGGGGTTTTCACATGTCGCGTCGTATCTCAAAAACGATTTATAATTATTGCTTAAAATTTTACACACTTCTTAGTTATATTAATCTTAAGATCTGTATACTTTTTGGTTTTGATTCAAAATTTTATTTTAGAGATATTGAGTTTTTTGTAAAAAAAAAAGGGGGGTTTTCGCATGTCACGCCGTATGTCAGAAACTATTTATGCTTATTGCATAAAAATTCACACACAAGACGACGGGTCGTATCATGCGCTCATGGCGCAGCTGTTTATTGGACATGGTCATGTTTTACAAATATAGGTGGTGGAAAACAGAATTCATTGACTCTTTTGGATAAAAGCCAAAAAAATCTTGAGTATTGACAACTGCTTTGTTATTTTATTTAAAATTTTAAGATTGTATGTTATATAGCCTAATATATTCGTCATTTTATGTACATATTTTTACATTTTTATGATCATTTCATGGAAAATAAAAAATAAAATGTTTGATTGTTTAAGTTTTCTCCCTCTGAGAAGTTTCCACATGTCATCAAAAGAAACTAACTACATTTATGATCATTTTTAAGTGATTAGTAGATATAGATGGTTAAATGTAAACAAACAAACACAAATAAGAAGATAACAAAGAGACAATAAGAATCACTAGACAGACCACTCAATGACCAAAAGACAAAATGTGAAAAGAAAAACAAATGACAAGGTCTACAAAAACATTAGAAACACTAAATCTTAATCTTGAGCAACACAAACCTCACCAGAAAAAACCTAGTGAACTTTTGTCCAAGAAAGGTAAGCTGACCTTGTCCACAGTGTTTGTCTCGCCTCGACGGAGTCAAAAAGCGAGACATAGTTATGCTGTTTCCGGCATCGGCGGTGGCGGCGACAATGTATTAGTTTGTTATTAGGTCTAGTTCATGGTGAACCACTAGTGGTAGGTCAATGATATTTGGTATGCAGTTGTAAAAGCATTGGCACATCTCATTGTGTACCATGGAGATTATTTGGCCCCGCCCCCTCAGTCAAGGTCTATTGACTTTGAAACTTTGCTTAGTTTACATGTATTAGTTTGTGATTACCGGTAGGTCAGTTTATGGGGAACCACTGGTGGTAGATCAGTGATATTTGGTATGCAGTTTTATTAGCATTGGCACATCTCATTACCATGGAGATTATTTGGCCCCGCCCTCTCAGTCAAGGTCTATTGACTTTGAAACTTTGCTTAGTTTACATGTATTAGTTTGTGATTAGGTCAGTTTATGGGGAACCACTATTGATAGGTCAATGATATTTGGTATGCAGTTGTAAAAGCATTGGCACATCTCATTGTGTACCATGGAGATTATTTGGCCCCGCCCCCTCAGTCAAGGTCTATTGACTTTGAAACTTTGCTTAGTTTACATGTATTAGTTTGTGATTACCGGTAGGTCAGTTTATGGGGAACCACTGGTGGTAGATCAGTGATATTTGGTATGCAGTTGTATAAGCATTGGCATATCTCATTTCCATGGAGATTATTTGGCCCCGCCCCCTCATTCATGGTCTATTGACTTTGAAACTTTTGCTTAGTTTTCATGTATTAGTTTGTGATTAGGTCAGTTTAAGATGAACCACTAATGTAAAGTCAATGATATTTGGTATGCAAATGTATTGGCATTTGCAAGTTTCATTTCCATGGAGATTATATAACCCCACCCCCTAATTATGGTTCATTGACTTTGAAACTTTTACATAGTTTACAAGTTAATGTTTGTGTTTAGGTTTGTTTATAGGGAAAAATTACTAAAAGACAATGGTATTTGGTTTGCAATTGTAGTAACATTGGCACATCTCATTTCCATGGATATTGTTTAGCCCTGTACCTTAAGTCATGGCTCATTGACTTTGAATATTTGCATAACTTACATGTTAAAATATTGCTATTTTAATTTCAACATATGCATTATCAAAATAAAAAATAGGCAAGACATATCTCTGTGTTAACAGTTTATTATAGTAATTTTAAAAGTGGTTGGACCAAGATGTGACTTTAACATTTTTGAAAAGAAACAAAATTAGAAATGACAGTCACTACATAACATATGTATCAGAACTTTTAAATTTACAATGGAACTAGATAAAAATCTTTCTACAGATGACTTGCCAGTTATAATATTACACATTTAAGCTCAGCATTATTATAACATTAATGACTACAGAAATTAGCATTCAGTCATTCTTTTAGATGATCATATTTCTAAAACATTACATTAATATACATTTTACATGTAAGAATTGATGTTATTTTTATAAGCAATATATATAGCATGCCATTTGTGAAATAATATATTTAATTCACTAGAAGCATTGATTATATAATTAATTGATTGTTGTTTGCATAATGTCCAGTAACAAAAGTAATTTTATGCATTTCAAATTCACGGAGAAAGACAATGTAATGTGTATAAAGAGATAGAATGACCAATGGCATATAAATATATTTCTGGAATATTAATTTTGGACATGACGCAAGAAATTTGGAACTTTTGCAAAAAAGACCTAGTTGCAATCGCTTTCTCCAATAAATACATGTTCCGGGTCGCTAGGACTTTAAATAAGGGGGAAAGGTAGACAGATAAGGAATGTATGGTTCCTCTTAAAATAGATGTTTTTAAGGTTAGGAACAGGATAGGGTTAAATATTTAAACTCATTGCCTTTTTGTCGAGCCTTCGACTTTTGTAGAAAAAGCGAGACATAGCGATCCTACATTCTGTCGGCGTCGTCGTCGTTGTCGTCGGCGGCGTCCACAAATATTCACTCTGTGGTTAAAGTTTTTGAAATTTTAATAACTTTCTTAAACTATCCTGGATTTCTACCACACTTGGAAAGGAGCTTGTTTATGATCATAAGATAGTATCCAGAAATAAATGTTTTAAAAAAAAAAAAAAAAAATTTTTCAGTATTTTACTTATAAATGGACTTAGTTTTTCTACCAGTTAACATTACATTCACTCTGTGGTTAAAGTTTTTAAAATTTTAACAACTTTCTTAAATTATCTTGGATTTGTACCAAACTTGGACAGAAGCTTTTTATGATTAAAAGCTAGTATCTAGAAGGAAATTTTGTTAAAATTTTGTTCCATTTTTTCCGTATTTCACTTATAAATGGACTTAGCTTTTCTTCCAGTTAACATTACATACAGTCTGCAGTTTAAGTTTTTAAAACATTTATTAGATTCATAAACTATCCTGGATTTTTACCAAACTTGGACAGAAGCTACTTACAATCAAAAGATAGTATAGAGAGGAATATTTTTATTAATTTTTTTCCTAATTTTTGTTGAGCCTGCGATTAACAGCAAAAGTAGGCGAGACACTGGGTTCCGCGGAACCCTTACGAATTTTTTTTATTATACCTCCTCTCCTTCTTGGTTCTGAAGATATGATGATTTTAAGACAAATATAAATATGTTTCCCACCAATATTACATGCATTCTATACAACTCTACATCCATTTTGAGAATATTCATTAGATAATATTTAATAAATAAAAGAGTTGAATGATTTTTTTCAAATTTTAGTTATAATCTACCATTAATCTCAAACATCTAGAAGGGGTTCTCCTTTTTTTCTGGACTTTAATCAAACAAATTTTCATCTACCAAGCTCCTTTTCAGCAAGACCAGATCTCGACAAGAATTGATTGAACCTGGGAGCCAATAGCCTGACCTGTCGACTCACAGATTGACCTTTTAGTCAGTTTTATGATATAACAAAATACATCCCACCTCACATTAGGTGTTGCTATTTTATTGACGAGCCTGCGACTTTTGTTGCAGAAAGCTGGACATAGGGATAGTGATCCGGCGGCAGCGGCGTTAACTAACTTCTTAAAAGCTTAATATTTCAGAAGGTAGAAGACCTGGATGCTTCATACTTTGTATATAGATTTCTTATGATATGAAGTTCCTGTCGGTCATATGTCCATTGTCCTTGACCTTATTTTAATGGTTCAGTGACTACTTAAAAAAAAAGTTCAGAATTTTTGTAATGTTAATTTCTCTCTTATTATGAGTAATAGGGTAACTATATTTGGTATGTGCATACCTTGCAAGGTCCTCATGTCTGTCAGACAGTTTTCACTTGACCTCGACCTTATTTCATGGATCAGTGAACAAGGTTAAGTTTCCGTGGTCAAGTCCATATCTCAGATACTATAAGCAATAAGTCTACTATATTTGGTGTATGTAATGATTGCAAGGTGTACATGTCCAACTGGCAGGTGTCATCTGACCTTGACCTCATTTTCATGGTTTAGTGGTAATTATTTAGTTTTTGTGTTTTGGTCTGTTTTTCAAATACTGTATGCAATAGGTCAACTATATTTGGTGTATGAAAATATTTTACGATGTACATGTCAGTCTGGCAGGTTTTATTTGACCTTGATCTCATTTTCACGGTTCATTGCTCAATGTTAAGTTTTTGTGTTTTGGTCTGTTTTTCTAATACTGTATGCAGTAGACCAACTATATTTGGTGTATGGAAATATTTTACGATGTACATGTCAGTCTGGCAGGTTTTATTTGACCTTGATCTCATTTTCACGGTTCATTGCTCAATGTTAAGTTTTTGTGTTTTGGTCTGTTTTTCTAATACTGTATGCAGTAGACCAACTATATTTGGTGTATGGAAATATTTTACGATGTACATGTCAGTCTTGCAGGTTTTGTTTGACCTTGACCTCATTTTCATGGTTCATTGCTTATGTTAAGTTTTTGTGTATTGGTCTGTTTTTCTTAAACTTGAAGCAATAGGTCAACTATATTTGGTGTATGGAATTATTGTAAGGTGTATATGTCAGTCTGGCAGGTATCATTTGACCTTCACCTCATTTTCATGGTTCATTGGTCAATGTTCAGTTTTCCTGGTTTACTTTGTTTCTTAGATACCATAAGCAATAGGTCAACTATATTTGATGCATGGAATGATTTTAAGGTGTACATGTCTGTCTGGCAGGGTTCATCTGACTTTGACTTCATTTTCATGGTTCATTGGTCAATATAGAATTTCCATGGTTTGGTCTGTTTCTTTTATACTATAAGCAATAGGTCATCTATATTCTGAGTATGGAATGATTGTACTAAAGGTGTGCATGTATTTCCGCCTTTGTTTATCTGACCTTAACCTCATTTTCTTGGATCATAAATGTTAATGTGAAACTTGTAGTATAACTTTATATTTAGGACTATCAATATAAAATCAATGGTCAGTATAGTAGGCGAGACATTTCAGCGTGTGCACTCTTGTTATCTCAATGTGTACAGTTATACCAAAAACAAATCTCAAAAATGCTCAAACTCACAAGATGTGTTAATCATGATTTATTATCATCTTACTAAATAGGGGTTCTTTTTAAATTGAGCTTGTAGGTGCAGTGTTTTAAATCCTTAAAAGAGAGGCGAAAGATATTAAAGGAACAATAAAAAACAAACTGACAATGCCATGGCAA